AATTAGATGCATCTAATCACCGTCTTCTTAAATCATTTCTTGACTGATGTGACAGCTAAGTGCTAAGTACTAGCATATTGTTCTCAGTTAGGTCTTGATAGAATCCTGATTGTTGGATAAGGATGGACGTGAACTATTAATGGTAAAGAAAAAAATGGTTTTTATATATATAACAAATTTGATAGCTAGTTCATTGCTTTGTGTTATTTCTTACCTTAACATATTTTGTGCCTTATCTATTATAAGACACACACACCCATACTCACCCCAGCCCCTATATCTAAAACTGTTTTTTGGTCCTTAATTTACAACTATTCATTTAGTGACCATTCAAAGTTACAACAGCACTGAAAGAAGTGCTTATGGACTTATGACCATTTTTCACACTTATGATCATGATAGCATCTTCATGGTCACGTGATCAAAATTCGGATACTTGGCAACTGGCATGTATTTATGATGGTTGCAGTATCCTCGGGTCATGTGATCACATTTTCTGACATGCAAAGTCAATGGGGAAGCCAGATTCACTTAACAACCATGTTACTAATTTAACAAGTGCAATGATTCACTTAACAACTGTGGAAAGAAAGGTCACAAAGTGGGGCAAAGCTTGCTTAACAACTGTCCTGCTTGGAAATTTGGGGTTTAATTGTGGTCATAAGTTGAGGACCACCTGTGCTTTCATATTCCTGTATTGTAAAAAAAGGTTCAAAGGGCACCTTAGGTCACATAATGATCAAGGTATATTGGAAGTTAAGAGTAAAATTAAATTGTAAGCATTGCTTGAAGTCATGAATTATTTCTTTGAATTGTGAATTCATCCAGCTCATAAAACTTGATTGTGTAATAAATTGATTATCATTTTCCCTCACCTTTGCCAAACCAGTACATAAAATACATATCCTTTTGCAGATGAAATAAGAAGAGCAGGGACTAAGATGGAAGGGCTGTAGAGGCGTGTGCATTTTAAAACCCTTTCTTTTGTTGAAGCACTTGTGAAATTGTGCAAGAATTGTTAACCTGCTTCTCTTGTAAGTGCATACACAGAAAATCTATACTGGTAAACATTATTCTTGATAAATATGAGCCATCAGTGTGCTGCCAAAAAAGCCAACACAGTGCTAGTTTGACTTAACAGAGGGATGGAATCAAGATCACATGAAGCATTAATACCACTTTATAATGCCTTGGTAAGCCCACACTTGGAATATTGCATCCAGTTTTGGTCACTATGATGTAAAAAAGATGTTGAGACTCTAGAAAGAGTGCAGAGAAGAGCAACAAAGATGATTAGGGGTCTGGAGGCTAAAACATATAAGGAACAGTTGCTGGAATTGGGTATGTCTAGTTTAATGAAGAGAAGGACGAGGCGGGACCTGACAGCAGCGTTCAATATCTCGGAGGTTGCCCCCCCAAAAAGGGAGCACCTGAAGGCAAGACAAGAAGCAATGGATAGAAACTAATCAAGGAGAGAAGCAACCTAGAACTAAGGAAACATTTCCTGACAATTAGAACAATTAATCAGTGGAACAACTTGCCTTCAGAAGTTGTGAATGCTGCAACACTGGAAGTTTTAAAGAAAAGATTGGACAACCATTTGTTTGAAATGGTATAGGGTTTCCTGCCTGAGCAGAGGGTTGGACTAGAAGACCTCCAATGTCCCTTCCAATTCTATTATTATTATTATTATTATTATTATTATTATTATTATTATTATTATTATTATTACTACTACTACTACTACTACTACTACTACTATTACTATTATTACTATTATTATTATTCCATGGATTGCCAGGAATTATGTGACTAAACAATCTTTGATTTTGTCTGCATATCTCTTCTGTTTTGATCTATCTTCTGAACTGTCTTCTCCAAAGCTCAGAAAGCTGAGATTTCCAATTTCTATGCCATTGTCTCCAAATGCAATTCCTAGGATTCCCAGTGAACATTGTTTCATCTGTTGGCCCTGCCTTAATGTTTTTGTAACTTCTTCCCACCACAAACACTGCATGTACTAGCTCAAGTTTAGAAAGAACTTAAGCCAGCAAAGTCCCCTAGGGAGTTCATATCAGCAAACTCCCTGATCTCCAGGTCTTTACTCAATCATGCAGATTAGAGGAGAGAAATATGGGCACAATTGTGAGAGTGAGGGATGGACCATGGCTGGTTCTAGTTGGTGTTGACAAGAGGGAAAGACGAAGCCCAGAATGTCTCATTTGTGGGGTGCCCTTTTGTTTAACATCTACCTGAAACTTCTGGGTGAGGTTAACCATCAATTCGATATCATTTGTATGCTGATGACACCCAACTATAAATCTTAATTCTGGGCCAGCTAAGTGATGCTGAACTGCAAACTGCAACCCAAAACCCACATATGCATTGTCAGGTGCCAGGTGGGCATGGCCCATTGGCTGGGTGTGGCCAACTGGGTGGGCATGGCCCATTGAGTGGGCATGGCTGCGGTGGTAATGGCAGACTGGGTGAGACTAAAAAGTTTAATCAATCAATTCCAATTTTGCAAGATTTTTTTTCCTGCGAGAAGTTGAAATTGACTTATTGATTGAAACTTTTTTTTTTTTTGCACACAGCGGCAGAGGCCTAACGCGAAAAGGTTTTATAAAACCCAGCTGAAGGCCTAGGACTGAGCAACGGCGTGTGTGCCCACAGAGAGGGCTCTGAGTGCCACCTCTGGCACCTGTGCCATACGTTCACCACTACTGGTCTAGAGGGTGTGATTGTATGGCTGGGAAAGATTAGGCTCAGGATCAATCCTGATAAGTTTGAGTGAGGACATTAGGAACTTTCCATATTTAGTTTTGGATGGGGTTGTACTTCCCAAGTTGAGACTGATGTGCAAGTTGGGTTGTCTAAAGAATGCCATTTATTGGAATCTAAGAAATGGTCTTTCTTTGTCAATGTGCTTTTCCTCAGAAATAGCATCCTCAAAGGGATTTGTATAGCTCCCATTGTAATGATGTTCTGGAAATTTTAAAAAACCTGGTTGTTCTTCCAGGCTTTAGGGGTAGGGTGGCTGCTGAGCCCATGTAGGTTGTTTTGAGCTATTCTATTTTCTGTTTGTGCTATTTGCATCTATTCCGGACTTCTGTGATCTGTTCTTACTTTTATTGTTCTTGATTATGCTAAATTGCCCAAAGTTATTTAGAACCAGTGCCTTTAATTTAATTTTAATTAATTATTTAATTTAATTTAATTTAATTAAAATGAAACCTTTTTTGCACTAGTAGCATTCCAATAGGAATGCAAAATACCGATTCCTGCCATTTGTTTGACTGATTAAATTTTTAAAAAGTAATCTAAAGTTAATTTAATTTTAACTTTAGATTATTTTTTAAAAATTTAATCAGTCAAACAAATGGCAGGAATCGGTATTTTGCATTCCTACTGGAATGCTACCAGTGCAGAAAAGGTTTCATTTTATGGAGTATAACTGTTATGCCAGCCCTCTGCATCATTCTGCTTTAAGGTGACCAGACTTTTCTCTGTTTTTGTAGTTTCTTGAGATGTCAGATCACGTGTTAAAAAAGGGCAATAATATTTTCTATATCATTTATCAGGAAACTATGGAAATCTGCTTTACCCTGTGGTCAGATGTTATCATGGACTGTTGTGATTTACTACATGCTACATAAATACTCATTCATGTTTGATACTGAGAATAAAAACTAGATACAGATTGGAGTGTAGATCTAGATCAGGGCTTTTCAACCTTTTCACCCATTGTACCACTTTTAAGATATGGCAACATCTGAGTACCACCAGTCGCCTAGCAAGGTGTCAAAAATTTGATGACCAAAAAAAAAAAAAAAGGAAAAAAGTGATAAAGTACAGGTAGTCCTTGACTTACAACAGTTCGCTTAGTGACTGTTCAAAGTTACAATAGCACTGAAAAAAGTGCTTCCCAAGCCACAGCCGAGCAAGACAGTGCCCGGCGGCACTCTTCCTCCTGTCCGAGGTTTTCATTGCTGTGAGCATTTCTGTTGAGGATTGGCAGTGGGGGTGGGGTGGGGGTGTTTGGTTTTTATTCCCCCGTCTGCTGGGTGGTTGCAGCAGGTTTTGGTCACTTCACATGACCCTGGGACACTGTGACTGTCATAAATATGAATCAGTTGCCAAATATCTGAATGTAAATCACAAGACCCTGGAGATGCTGCAACATTCCAGCTGATTGGCATTTCTTCTGGGCTCAGCAGAAGCACCAGGATCAGCACCGAGCTCCAGCTGGAGCCTGGTGCTGATCCTGGCGCTTCCACTGAGCCCTGACAGTCCTGAAGAAGTGCTGATCCTGGCGCTTCTGCTGAGCCCTGACAGCCCTGCAGCTCCAGCCATCTCTCACTCAGGCTTGTGCAGTGCTGCCACCGGTTCAGCTCATTCCCCTCTCCCGCTACCACTTTTCTAGGATGGTCGCGTACCACCTGCCAGGTGCCAATGTACCATAGGTGGTACCCGTATCACTGGTTAAAAAGCCCTGATCTAGATCAGTCCCTTTTAAGCAGCTTTTCTTACAACTAATTTTCCTCCCTTAATCAAAGTGTACTGTACATGGAGACCCACAGAATAGTGCATGTAACCCTGGATTTAAATACAACTTAAAGCTATCATAGAAATATGTACATAACATATCTTAAAGTTGAGTTGAATATTAATTTAAATCAATGTTTATCTTTTGAATTTATTATTGTACAGCGGTGGTTCTCAATCTTTTCCTCACCATGGACCCGCTTTTGTGGCCACAGACCATGGTCACAAACCAACAAGATCTAACTCAAGATTTAAATCATAACATTTCTTCAAGCCTTCATGGACCCCCTGGTAATGACATTGTGGCCCTCAGGGGTCTGCAGACCACCAGTTGAGAAAACTGCTGTACATTTTTTATTTAAGAATAAGATAGCATCATTCATTTGTTTTTGATCCTTAACCAAGTGGTCTATTTTGAGCGAGGCTCTGTAAAAGTTTGTTTAGCTTTCTCTTACCTGGATGAAGATGTAGGTTCTGTAATCTGCCTTTGCATTCGAGCATGTTTGATGAGATGTTCTTTTAAAGCATTTTGGACTTCTGCTGGAATGTCAGGGGAAGTGTGGCTGATTTTCATTGCTGCTTCCAGGATATTTGTTGAGGGCTTCCCATTTTCTTTAACAGTTTCCTTTTTCTCGTTGGTTTCCAAAAACTCAGGGGGAACGCTGGTGGTGCTCTGAGGGATGTTTGTTGTTGTGTCTGAAGTGGTGGGTTTGCTTCTCCAGCATGGCCAACACAACTTCCAGAAGACGAAGAGTGAGACTAGCAACAAGGCGAGCCCACAGAAGCTGACGACAACTGCGAGCAGGCTGACAGAGATGTCTGCAAACAAGGAAGCAAAGGATTCGAGTGGTTTTAATTTCTTTGAATTGGTAAATTAAATCAAAATGTAATTGGGTCAATTAGTATATTAGTCATGTTATAATGCAATGTGAGTGCTGATTTAATCAGCTGGGGGAAAACATGGAAGTCTATCAACCTCTTGCTAGGTTTTGCGGTAAGTCAAAGTATCCAGCAGCTTCAGTTGGTACAGAATGAGGCTATGTGGGCAATTTTAGATGCCCCCCACAATGGTGCATGTAATACCTCTGCTGCATGAACTGCATTGGGTGTCAGTTTGCTTCCAGGTCCAATTCAAGGTTTGGTTATGACCTTTAAAGCTCTACATGGCACAGAACCAGGCTACCTAGGGAATCCATTATATCAGTCCATCCCATCTGGCCAGGTAGAGAAAGTATGTTGCAGATCCTGTCCGTGAAAGAATTTGAATTGGAGAGGTGTAGGAAGCCATTGCCCCTGCCCTGTGGAATAATCTTCCCACTGGCCTTCCTGGAAAGGTGTGAAAACATGCCATGGAATTAGTTAGCACCCTGAAAGCCCTTAACATTGCTTGCTTTTTTTAAAAAAAAAATATATACTTTTTAATGTTTTTCATATTTTATTTGTATATCACCCAAAGTCTCTTTGTGAGAGAGATGGATGGTTTGGAATTTGAAAAATAAATAAATAGCTAGTTAGCTAGTTAGCTATTTTTCAAATTTCACACCACCCATCTTGGCCAGCTAGCAAAGATAGCTCAGGGAATCAGTGAATCTCCATAAACTACAAGAGTGGAGGCAGACCCGTCTCGTTGGGTCAGCAGCAATATGAATTGAACAAGCAATCACTGGTGCTACTATTGTTAGTCCCACTCAATTTGAAGAAATTGGGACCATCATCCACCAATGTTGCTGCTGGTTTACTGTCCGTATTTTCTATGACATATAAAAGGATACCGTATTTAAGGATACAGTAGTTTCTATTGGGGCTATTGGGTTATCATAAAAAAAAATCTAAGATGTGTCTTTTATTGATGGTTTAGAATCAGGTGATTTCACAAGGAATTTCATGGAAACCTATAGAGATATTCTTAAAAGAGAGGAGGAGGAAGAGGAGGAGGTCGGTGCTTGCTAGCATGCGAACTTCCAGAAGTTTGGAATATAAAAAAATCTGGAAGCCTATTGGATGCAAGAGAGATGTTTGTGAGCATCTTGGATGCCAAATTGGGGACCCTAGGTTTAGAGCAGCGGTTCTCAACCTGTGGGTCGCAACACTATTTGGGGTCGAACGACCATTTCACGGGGGTTGCCAAACAATGCAGTCCGCCATTTTTTTCCCCTTTTCCATAGCTGTGCTACTCCCTCTTATTCTATTGGCTTTTGAAAGCCAATAGAATAGACTCTACTCAAGAGACTCTATTCTACTGGCATTCGAAAGCCAATAGAATCTATTGGCTTTTGAAAGCCAATAGAATAGACTCTCTTGAATAGAGTCTAATTCTATTGGCTTTCAAAAGCCAATAGGAATTGTCCAGGCTGTCTCTGCCCTGCTGAGCCCACCAAAAGCCCCAGTCTGCAAACGGTGCTGCAAGCTGTCTGCAGCTAAGGCGAGGTTTCTGGACGTTTCCACCCCTCCCTGCTGAGCAACTACTAAATGTAAGTAAAAGAGGGCCAGGGGTGGGAGGTGGGAGGCCAGGGGGTGCAGGGAGGGTTGCTGGCACGCGTGGGGCCCGGCAGGTGGCTTACCTCCCTTGGGCTGGGCCAGCTGGTGGCCCAGCCGGTGGTCGGCCTGCACCCTTGCTGCCGCGTGCCGTGGCCACCCAGGAGCGCCTGGGCCTGCCTGCCACCGCACCGAACGTGCGGTGGCCAAGGTAAGGCTAGTAGGGCAGCGGCGGGCGCAGGGAGGGTTACTGGCACGTGTGGGGCCCGGTGGGTGGCTTACCTCCCTTGGGCTGGGCCAGCTGGTGGCTCAGCCAGTGGTCGGCCTGCACCGTCGCTGCCGCTTGCCAGCTACGCCTCGGCCAGCGCAGGGGGTAGGACCACGCATGTGTGGTGGTCCCGGGCCGAGGCGGTTGCTGGGCGACGGCCCGCGTGCAGCCGCAGGAGAAGAGGTAGAGCGTGCGCGCCTCCTCCTGCCCTGCCCGCAGGGAAATACAGGTAGTCCTCGACTTACGACCACATGGTTGGGGTCGCGGCATTAGGAAGGTTGAGAACCACTGGTTTAGAGGCACTGCAGTCAAGATCTGGAAGGTGCATATAGAAATAGAAAAAGTTTAATCAGGGCATAGACTAACAGAATATCTCCAGGTTTCACAGAATAAATTTTCCAATTGCACCTGATATTATTGGGGCTGAACCTGGAGCCGTCTAGAAGGAGATCATGTGTTTATGCTGGCTTTCAACCAGTGAGTTCATTGAGTATGAACTATGGCAGTGCTTGACCAAGATGACTGTTGACACTATTCTCACCTTGGATTCCCAAGGAAGCACTAATTTGGTCAATCATCCATATTAAGGTCACAAATATTTATAAACTCAACTTCTTATACATTGCTTTCAACCAGTTGCTGTATCGTTTTTACCCTTTTGCTATAAGCTACAAACTGATTATTCACAATTTTTCCACATTGGTTAAATGTATAAGCTGCTCAACTCAGCTATGACTAGGGCTATCTCTATCAGTGGAAGTGAAAAAACAATAATAGACAGCAAGCAGGAAAGCCAAAATCTCCCTTTAAGTCTCTCAAAAAGAAATGAAAGATGGAGCTGTCTCTTCTTGCTTAGAATACTCTCTGTTAAAAAAAATCTCCCTTGACCTGGTGGATCTGAATAACTATAAGCTAGTCTAAATGCAACATTTTTCGCCAAGGACCCGTTAGTCTTATTATGATCCTGTCCTTTTATAAAGAATGACAGAACTAAACCATCTGAGAAGACTGTTACTCTTAGAAGCCTTCTTCTCAAACACAGAGGAAGTCCCTCTTCTGCCACCCCTAAACTGTGGAACGAATTTTCTTCGGATCTTCTTCAGAACTTTGCTTCCTCTTGAGGCTGTTGGGCAATTACGTTAACTAAGCTATTTGCAAGGGTCCTTGTATGGTTTAATGTGCAACATGATCTGCTGGATTGTTGCTTTTTATTTGATTAAATTCTATCCTTAGATGTCATTTCCCCAGTAAATCAAATCAATGAAAACAATATCATAACAGTTACTGCAATCCTTTAAGCCGTCCCAGCTATGGTATGGAACAGGATGTGAGCTGATGGAAGCCATGGTGTTGCAATACAAGCACTGCCTCTTTTTCTAATGCGTCACCACATCACACACATGTCTAAAAACATCAGCACTTGCATTGCAACGTCATGATACTGTTTTCATCTTTGTGATGAAAAGCAACAAGATCCTGCTAATGGTGCTGCTCAGCCATATAACGAATATTACTCTAACTTTGAACAGAGCAAGAAAAAAATGGGGGGGGGGGTGAATTACCCACAATCTTTCAGACCTTACAAAAGGATTGAATTCCAAATTTCTAGCCTTTAAGGCCAGATGCATACAGAATATGTATCTTAAGATACAGAATCTAAAAACTCATAAGACTAAGCTTAATACTTTAACATATTCTTTAATATTTAATATATCCATTAGAGGAACTTATAAAAGTTTCTGTGTTTATTATAAGATGTTTTTTATTTGCCACTCTCACCGGCAGTATTAAAAATTGCTGAAAAGCAATTATTCTTTATTCTAATGTACAATATATTTATTTTATTAATCACATTTATATGGCCACACATCTCACAGAAAGCAACTCTGGGCCGCATACAACAATAAAACAGTAGAAATACAAAATAGTCATTATCTAAAACCACTATAGGTAGTCCTCAGCTTGTGACCACAGCTGAGCTATTGTTAAGCGAGATAGTTGTTATGTGAGTTTTGCCTTTCGAATGATGTAGGAGTATGAATGGATTTCCAGAAAACATTGCAGACTACAAGAACTATTTGAGCTTCAGTTTGAGAGGCAGACAACACAGATTCATCCCCAACAGCCTGCACCTGTCTTCAACAGTGAAGGGACATGGGGCAGAAAACATCCAGCAGCCAAGAAGGCTCCACACACATTGGCACTGCTCAAGTGACCCCGAGGACAGAGATAAAGATGAGAAGTGAAACGTCTTGAAAGAAAAAACAAGAAAGTCCCGTTTCCTCCTGAAATAGGCACCTTTGGAACATCCTTACTCCTAGATTGGATCTCTCTTTAGCAAGCTTCTACCTATTCTAAGACACCTTTCATTTTAACTGGTGGAAAGTTAGAGGAGAAAATTGATTTGAGGATCAGAGATTTCAGGATCATCTCTCATGAATGGGACATACTAGTTTTGACCATTCAGCTTAAAGGAGGAGGATTTAAATTTCCTCCTCTAATGTTTCCCAAATTATGGGGAGGTCTGGATGCAGAATTCCTTGGTAGCTTCCCTGGTTCAAATGGTTCCTCTCCTGCTGTCATTCAGAAAATTGATAGAAACCCATTTTTAGGCCTTTGGGTACTAGGGGCCTGCTTGCAACACTACTATCTAGGATGGAATTGATGGTTGGTATTACTTAATGACATGATTATTTCATTTTTATTGCTTTATGATAGTTTTATGATGTTACGATTTTATTTTCTATTTTTACTGTTGTAAGTGGCTGAGCATTATTTTGAAGTTGGCAGTATACAGTTCTGAAACTAATAAATAAACACAACGATATTTGAGATTGCCCATTTTGTCTTGTAAGTAGAGTGGAGGTATTTTATAACAGTGGAAATGTTGCTAAAATGCTGGTGCCCAGACCAATATTTCAGTGAGAAAAGCACTTTGGCTTTTGAAAAACTAGAATTACAAGATGATGAAAAAGAGAATTGTAAAGGATGTTTGCAGAGGTATAACATATTTATCGGTCCAATGCACCATTGCCTGCGTACAATCTCTTAAAATAAAGAAGAGTGATGTTAAAAC